CATGAGAGGACCTTAGCAAGACGGCTAGGAAAGCCCCCTCTTCGTCCCACACGCTACATGGCCGCCTTGAAAACACGTAAGTCGTCTTGGTTTACAGGAGAGTTTTTGTTAACTCGGCGCTATCTGACTGGCACGGCTGGCATACGATCCATCCTCCGAGGCTCCCCCCGAGTTTCTGAAACAGTAGTACGTTACATCGGGCGCCGAATCAACTGGCAACTTGGCAACATGATTGAGCATGTACGACGGTACTACCGTAATCATGCGGGGCCCCGGGCCCACTGTAGTAACCGACGATGCCAGGGATCGTATCATAGTATGCCAGCCGTGCCAGTCAGATAGCGCCGAGAAGTTTCCTAGCCGTCTCGCTAAGGTCCTCTCAGCATGTCTGGACTCGGATCATATGCTTGGGTTTCACGGTCCTAGCATACAGTCTATCTCTCACAGTGTGCTCCGAGGCTCCTCGGTCACAGAGTCAAATTCCAGTGCCACTCAGTTTTGTGTGCATTACTTTAAACTTGGTCTTGCCACTAAGGTCGATGTGATATCCGATGCGGCGTGACTTTGGCATCCAACAAACTTGTCACGGTGTGCTCTGTTTATTTTAGCCCGCCCGATAGCCTAGCCTGAGGCGGGGCGCCGCCGCCCCCCGGCTCCGCCGAGGACATTCTGACGGAATTGGGTGCTTAAAAGAAGGCGGCCCGGTATTATTATTGTAATAAGCCTCCAAAAAACCCCTTCATTTGGTGGACCATGGACCCCACCCCACCCCTCGTATACGTCTGAACTTTCCGAATGAAAGACGGGACCATCTATATCCTCGCTCACAACCACAACCCGTACCCCCCCTCTCAATATTGCCTCTACCACCCACCCAGGGAAATTCATTTCTTTGACGAATCCTCACCCCTACCTTTCGCTCTTAGAAATTTTCAACCCCACCCCGCACCTTCCTTTCTTGGCCTCGTCCTAGGGCTGGGGTACCAAGATTATACGGTCTGTAAGACCTCCCTATCACCATTACTCATAAGTACCCCTGCAGGAAAAATACAACCCTACCCTAGTGATTGATATCACAAATGAGGAAAGTAACCCGGTACTTCCTCCTACCCCACCCTATGGACTTGACGACGCTCATTGCTCGTCCCCTACCTGCCGATGATGGGCCTTGTTTTGTTTGCTCCCCACACAGCTCGGAATCATATCTCCTGCGCGTGTTTCATATACAGAGCTTCTCTACACTCCTCCCTTTACTCTCTTCATTTCTCCCACACCTTTCTTTCTGCAAGAATATCTTCACCTTTGCATATCACGTCAATGACATGGTTTGGTTCGCCAGGTTTTGCGCGGACAGTCGGTTCACTTGCACAGCTTGAAATAGAACTGAAATAGAACATACAGCACGGCATTACAATTCTCTGTCCTTAATTCAGAACTTTGCAACACTCATAGCTCCTCGCGTTGGCCACAGTTTGCGATAGGTGGAGTTGGCTGTTGCATGCAGTCATAGAAAGGTAATTGATGCCTGCTTCTCTTCGATGCCTCCTCTTCTATTCGATTTTTTCGTTGGGTAGTGGTCGAAATGTGTTGCAATTGTTCATTCTCTGTGACTAGCTTACTGGCGCTAATTTAACACATCGAGTCGCCTTGAAGATTTTAAGTTTGGCTGTGTGTTGATGAATTGCACGTTGGAAACCTGTGATGCTTGTATTGTATCTTCATACATTCTTTTGCTGGCCTTTACTTTTGACTACTTTGCACATGTATCTTATTATGTTTGACATAGGTTTGTCAACATATAATTGATTTTTGCAAAGGCGGTACTATGAGCCTCAAATTGAACCGGAGGAGCAGGTTGCTTTGCTTTACATATTCCCAACAGATGTTCTGAAGAAGAAATATGCAGAGATCTTTGCTCTCCAAAATGTGTATCATTTCTGCAGATGGATGACGAGAACAGTCAGCGGGATGAACATCAAACAAGTACGTACTAGGATTGCAAAAGGTTATTCTTGTAAAGGGCTTCTTAGATTTGGAGGATTCCATTGCACGGAGGAAGATGGCGATGCGGGGTTTCAAGTCGATGTCTTCTATTTCAACGAAACAGAATGCGAACAATCACTACAATGCGGAGGACGACACGTGAGCCAGACAATCAGCAATTGCGATGTTTAACTTGGTTGTCAGGGTTCAAATGCTCCGTCTCGCCGTGCTAGATCAGTACATAGCTCGATCATCAAGTGCCATAGAAACAAGCTCAATTAAGGTTCCTCCGAAAGTTTCAAGTATCAAATCAAAGAAGTTCTCACAATCGATGCCTGCGAAAGTAAGTGTTTTGAGACGATTCGCTGATTAGTCATCTCCTGCAGCTGATTGACAAGCGTGAACAGATCGTACAACGGAGTTTACCAAGAGAGGAAGGGGTCGACCGAGAGCAGTTCATGGGCTCTGTGATGGAAGGAATGGACAGGGTTAGCAGCGCTATCACGCCAGAAGCTCTAGAATATGTCAAGGTGACTCGCGCCAACGAGTTGTATCATTACTAACTGTTTGCTGGAACCAGTGGACTTGTAGACAGCTGGACGTTGACTTTATGTCATTGCCTTGTGCACAAAGATTGCTCCATGCAGAAAGAGAGATGGTATGGCAGAACGATCTGATTCTTGAACGATGGGTGAAAATTTGTTAGGGTTCCCTGTGCTCTCCAACACACCGGGAAATGGACATCACGGAAGAAGAGTTATCACTGGACCAAATGGTAATGCATATGTTGGTGCAAATGGCACTTACTCAAAAGTGCAGATGGAAGATTGATATTCCTGGATGACTGACGTGCTGGTTCGATTGGGACCACATCTTCCAGGTGTTTGCAGTAGTGTGTGAATGGTGCCGCATGTAGCTGTGTATGTAAATTTGATACGAAGAAAAACAAAGTTTAATGCACTTCATCGAAGTGTTCCAATTTGCGATTCTAAGCAGGCTGAAACTGGGAATGCATCCTTGGATGTTTGCACCTGGTCAAAAATAACTGTTCTCCTGCAACCAGCCCTCGCTTGTTTCTCAATCTATCGCTCCTTGCAACAAGAATATATCACGCCTAAAGGTATGTAAATCGTATGCCACTTTCATACACGCTTACATACGCTTGCAACCCTCAACCCCACTTACTCTACTTCTTACTTGGTACTGTAAAAAGAGACATCGAAATGAGTCCGGTCCCGGTTCCCTTGCTCCCCCTCCACCACTACCCCCTGCCTCGCTTGTAGGCTGCCGCCGCTCCTTGCGACCCTTCCACTCGCTCCTCACCGTTCCTTCCCTCTCGCCCTCTCCCCATTTCGCATCTCCTTGCTTCTGTCGGTCAATCCTACGGTATGGTGAGGTTGAGCGTGGCGCCCATGGCCGAATGGACTGATCGCCCGTACCGTTCGCTCGCGCGAGCCCTAACTCGTCGAACTGTTCTGTACACGGAGATGGTGGTTGCAGACGATCTGCTGCACAAGGATCATGATGGTCAGTTTCTCCTCTTGGATGCGTCCACACAGGAATCTCCCTTGGTGCTTCAGCTCGGGGGGGCAGAACCCGAAACTCTCATGCGGGCGACAGATGTAGCTGTGTCCTCCTCCCACGTGAACTATGAGGAGATCAATCTCAACTGCGGTTGCCCGTCAGCGGCTGCGACATGTTGCAGTCAGCGATATGGGGCTTCACTGATGCATGACCCTCATGGGGTTGCTACTTGTTTACGAGCCATGGCAAGAGCGTCGCCAAACGCTCCAGTGAGCGTCAAGTGCAGACTGGGAACCAACGAGAGAAATGGATATAAGCTTCTCTCCGACTTCATTTCCATCGTCAGCTCAGGAGCTGGCGTTCGGCACTTTATAATTCACAGCAGGGAATGTGTTCTTGGAGGTTGCCCTCTCTTTATAATCCTCATCGTCTCTTCCTACCCCTTTACAAGCTCCTTCTCTTTCTCCCCTTGACCCTTCTCATTTTACAGGCTTCATCCTTCTCTTTGTCCCCTTGACCCTTCTCATTCTACAGGCTTCACGCCCAAGCAGAACCGCACGATTCCTCCTCTCCGTCCTCGATGGACGCACCAGCTGAAGCAAGACTTCCCAGATCTGCACTTCACGTACAATGGAGGCATCAAGTCGCTCGAGATGGCTGGGAGGCATCTCCTCGCTCCTCACAACGGCATCATCGCCGAGTATGGCTCGTATGCAGGCCTCAAGGAGCACGAGAGCAGCGGCAATGAGAAAGCAGATGAATTCCAGTGGGACGACCTACCAGCAGTAGATGGCGTAATGATCGGCAGGTATAAGATGTTTGTGGCAAGACAGAAGCTGATGGACCTTCAGGGAAGCTTATCAGCGACCCTGGTTGTTGAGAGAAGCAGATGTAAAAATCTTTGGGGAGGACAGAAATCCGTAAGTTTGATTGTCATCTCTTAAGATGACCCAAAACTCATCCTAGGGGGCTGACGAGGAGGAAGATCCTCGAGGATTACATCGTCCTCGGAGAAGAGCTCATGGAAAAATACAGGTAGACATCTCCTCATCCTCCCGCTGATGACTGTTCGCTCCAGTAACATCCACGGGCATCGGAAGAAAGGGACTCCTGGCTACTCAACGAGGAATCTGCTTAAACCTGTTTTCGGGTAACATTGGTCTACTGTGCCAGAAATATGCGTAATGGTTCGAAGTCTCTTCGCCACAGAGCGTGGAGGACGTGAATGGCGGAGAATCCTCGACAAGGTGTGAAGCTTGAGAGAGGACGAGAACGTGAAGTCCATACAGGAATGGGTTGGAGGTGGCAAGCTTGGCGTGCGAGAGCCTTCGCTCCGCGAGCTTCTGGAGGTGCACGAGCTCCATCTCGATCATCAGGTGCCTCACAGCAGCGCGCAGGCAGCCATGGATGCTATGCCGAGTGAGCTACTCGATGCCGAGTAGCTAAAAGAAGCGCTACGAGACAAGAGGTAACGTGAAGAAAATTCTTCAATTCAGGATCAACGAGCTCAAGCCAAGTAGAGCATTCCGGAGCGGCGGGGGCGAACGACGTTGTAGGGGGAGAGCTCAGCATCGCCAGCATTGTTGCCAACACCCGAGTCATAGCTCTACAGAGTTGAGTCAAGCGGAAACCAAACGGCATGCGGAGACAAGGCAGGGAAGGAAGACAAGCCGAAAGGATATAAGCAGATAAAGAAAGATCGTGATCAACTCACCAGACCATCTCCGAAGCTGTCACCAGATTCAGTTCCCCAGCCGTAAGTTTGGTTGAGGCGCTGAACAGGAACAAGAGCAAAGACTGCACAATCGAGTTCGTCAGTGCAACTGATAGGAAACAAGGAGACTTACGTTGGTTAGCACTGCGAAGGAACATCATCTGTAAACTCAGCGTCAGTCATTTCAATCACAGTGAAAGATCGATGAAAACAGATGTTCGATAATAGTATCAAAACCTTCGACCGACAAACATACAGCTCAAGTTCGACCAAACACCCCTCACAACTGCCATACTTCGCATGCCCATAATTTTGCCGTCGCTTCTCCCCCGTACATTCTGACTCTCTCCCCCCTACATTCTACCTAGACCCCTCTCTCACCCTCGTACATTGCTCGAACCGTTTCTCTCTCCCCCGTACATTCTACCTCAACACCTCTTCCCCAACCCCCCTCCGTGCATTCTACCTCGACACCTTTCTCCATCCTTGTGCATCTTCTATGAGCTATGAACATCTAACTGGTTTTCCTGCTGCCGCCCTTGCTCGACCATCTCAAGCTCAAGCGTCACCGCACGCAGTCAAGAGTCGCGGCGACACACCAAGCAACACCTCAGACAACGAGTTCGAGAGGCCGGGCTCCGGGCCCGGGTATAACCGTTACTGACCGTTACTTCAACCGCCGCGGTGACAACCCGGAGTTGAGACAGTGAAAGTTTACTAGACCCACGAGCTAGTTGTCCATGTGCTGTCCTTCCCTTTGTCTCTGGGCGGACCTACCGTACCGGTGGGTCGTTTGAGCGGTGCCCGACTATGCTGATGCACGGAGTGGAGGAAGGGCGGGCGATGAAAGGGGCTCTGAGGTGAGAGAGCTGCAGGAGGTGAAGGCCTGAGTCACGTGATTGCCTTGTGTCAGCCTCCGCATACACGAGATGGAAGAGGAGCTCCTGGCATTACGACGACAGCGCGAGGCTCGTGCTGAAATGTTTGGATGTTGCCTGACAACTTCGACAGACGCTCATGAAAGAAATCGAATTTTGGAGGCAGCGTGCAGAGGGAACATTGATCGAGCAGGCACAACATGCTTTGGATGTGAATGAAAGTGGCGTGCAAACTCAAAAGTTCATGGATAATATCAAGAAACTACAAGACGAAGAATCATTTTGGAGGAGGGAGGCCTCGAGACGACTGGAAGAAGTGACAGACGTGAGATTATCTAAACCCTTGTATCTAAGGCTTTTGTCGTTGTGACTTGAATTTCTTAGACTGAAACCACTCTAAGAAAATTGCTCCGTGATCTGCAGCGAGAGCGATATCTTGTACGCACCAAGGCATAGAATGTTTGGATCCTTTTAAATCCTGCTTACAAACACTGCAGGAAGAAAGAGAGGCAGAACTGATTGGAGAGATTCATAAACTTCAGAACAAGATTGAGATCATCTCGAAAGGGTTCAAACTAAATGATTCTCCATCTTCACCATCTGAACACCTTACAAGCCAAAGCAGGCATGATTTCATTTTTCACACTGGATCTTCAATAGTTTGACCTGTTATGGCGCTAGGGATATTGACCTGAATTCTCCGTTCAGCAATATTGTTAAGCTGCAAGCTGAGCTTCTGAGGAAGGGCAGGTACCATCATCAAGACGATCAAAGCCGTTTAACTTATTCGCTTGTAGATACGAAGACGCTGAGAGGTTGGCCCTTTCCTTCAACACTATTCGCCTGCAAAAATGTAAATTACTACCTATCTCATTTTGCTGGTGACAAAGACCCAGTCAAGACAAGTGAATTGCGAGACACTGCACTAGGTTGTGTACCCCAGGAGGCTTCGATTCCCAGATTGGTTTCGGATCGAGCCGAAGAACGAACGAGCGATCCAAGGGAGCAGCCCAGCAATCTATTATCCTATGAAGAAATCGAAAATCAGGGCTCCAAACATCTCAAGAGGTACGTCTCAGCCTTGTGTTTTGCTTTCAGAATTTTACTGGTTTTTCTGGCAGTATCGCACCACCCTTCCATGAGAAATTGTCGATAGAAAATCGTCTTGCTCGCGTGTCCGATAGCTGTCTCCTACATCCTCATCAACCCTGGAAACTTCAGGTGCAACTCAACGAAGCGAGTGGAATCAGATGGAAGGATGGAGTACAACAAGCATTGTGCTGTTTCTCGTCTATTGAAGCTTCTGCAAAACTTTCTTCGCAGAGCTTTCAATCCATCTATCATGTTGGAGACCAAGGAACTTCGCTAATTGACAATAGCCTCTGCATCCAAGCAGCATGCTCGTCTGCGCATGTCCAAGTAGGAAGAGACGTCACGAAATGGAACGAGACAGTGGAACTAGATGATTTACAAGTGTTTCAAAATTCAGACCAAGAACAAGAGTTAGAAGTTTCAAGAAAAGGTGAGAAACTCATCTCCCCTCTTGTGCAATCTATGATCGTGCGACTACAGCAATGCAAGGACAATGTCTATTGCTTCTCATCACCGTCCATTCATTCTCAGAAGAACAAGTTGAGCAAGTGGGAAGAACAGCGCTTGTGATCAGAGAGCAATCTGACAGGCATCACATCTTGTGCTTGCTTGACCCTCATGGTGCTCCGCTCCTTAACTCAGCAGGCGACGGACCAGCAACAATTTCCATTCAATGCAAATATTTCCCCTCGGACGACAATATGCCAGGGAGCGTGTGAAGGAAGTTGACGTAGTAGAATTCACAAATTTCAATGAATATTCTTTGTTCCTCTCGTGACGCTTTTCGAGTTGAGCTCAACGGCGATTTCTTCGTGGAGCAGTATTCCCTCATCTATCCGTCCTCGCTAATCGCGGGGTGTCGACCAGGAAAAGTGCTCCGAGTATATTGACCAGGTCAGCACGAAAGGCTTCATGATCAAACCCATGGAAAGCAGATTTCAAGGCATTCTTCTGCGACGAAATCGTGCAGAAATCACTGTCAAGGTCTGCATTATACTTGGATAGCAAGGAAGCGTTCAAGTTGACGACATTCAATCCTGTCTGATCCAAAATGTCATTGACGTATCGAAGCTTTTGTGGATTGAAGATCTTGTAGAAGGAGATCAGTCTGCGGCGGCAAATATCCCGCGTGTCAGTCAGAGTAAATGGAGAGGCGATTTCAATCAGATGCACTTCCTCCTTGGATTCTCCAGGTTGACGACTTGAGGAGCCACATCGCCTGAGCAACACGCAGACAATACACTCGTGGAAAAGGTCAACCACCTCAGTGAGACTCCTCCCGACCACAGTAATCGAATTGACCTCTTGGATCTCATCGCCATGCTCAAGTGTCTGTGAGAAAATTCCTTCTTCCTCGCACAAGACCATAAGATATCCGTTGGTTTGGAATCGAAGAGCGAGACCCAATCGCTTGATCGTGAGAACACCATTTGTGTACAGGTGACGAGAACTTTCAACATCTGGATGGTTGAGAGTTTGTTCAACAGTCTCTTGACTCTCAGGTTCATCTTTGTCCTTTTCATCATCGACCTGTCGCATCATTCCCTTGATATTGACGCCAGACCTGCAAATTTTGCCGGCCTCGAAGACTGCCACGTCGTTCTCTCGTACATCGTTCTCTCCCCTTTCCAATAAACTTTCCTCTCCAGCAATCATACACCTATCATTCTGTTGGACACTTTCTTGTCTAAGAAGCAATGTCTCCCGGGTCTGCCCTCCCCCTCTTTCAATTTCTTCCGCCTGCACCTCTCGTTCCGATGGCTCGGTCATGTGTGCTTTGCACATTGAGGAAGGTTCATCACAGCATTCGACTAGATCAAATTCTTGGCAGCTCAACTCATTCTTCAAACAGTGTTCTTGCATGGTTTTAACTACATCCCCTGACTCTTCACGTTGGTATTCATCTTCTCCTCTTTGCTTCCCAAGCATTTCCTTGTCCAAGCTATTCTGTTCCTGTTCCTTCTCCTGCTCCTGCTCATGCTCCTGCTGATCTTTCTCCTGCTCCTGCTCCTGCTCCTGCTCTTGCTCCTGCGCCTGCCCCTGTTCCTGCTCCTGCTCCTGCTCCTGCTCCTGCTCCTGCTCCTGCTCCTGCTCCTGCACCACAATCTCCTCCTCTGTTATGCAGAACTTGAGGGCATCATCCAGCATCATTCTAACCATTTCAGAAACCACAAACTTTTCTTCCATATCTTTCGCCACTGGTCCGATTGGAACGCCGTAGCAAGGGCCGCGGTTGTCTACAAAGCTCAAATTTCTTAATAGCTCCCACTCGCCCAACAGCCTCTCTGGTCCTGCCACATCCTTGTTACCAAAATAAGAGCAACAACAAACATGAATCAGAATAGCAAGAGGATCAATGCAAGAGAAAGGAATAGGAGGAAAACACCAAATCAGGAGAAATTAGCCAGCAAAGGGAGGCTTCCTTGTTTTACAAAGGCGAATTACCTCCTGCCCGATGGATCCCGATCAGTTCGCCCAATGACGAGAAGATGGGAGACCCAGAAGAACCAGAAGGAGTTGCAGCGACAGTAAGGAGGTTGTACTGGTCATGATCAACAAGCTCCTCATGCGCACATCTCAAACCTCCTCGTTGAGTGCGATGGAGCAGCAGGATGCGATGGTCCTTGGGTATGCAGGTCCATCCCCTGGGAATGAGAAGAGGCTGGCGGAAGGCGAGGCCTTCGCCCTCAGCCGCTATCAGTGAGTAATCCAGACTGCCGAGCGAGCATTTCCCGGACTGGCGACAAGAGCATGAATCTTCACCACATGAACAGGAGGAAGGTCGAGGAGGTGGGCTGGAGAGGAAGAAGAGCTCTGGTCTAAGTTGAATGGTGTTGGGAGCGTCCGATATGAGCAGAGAGAAACTCACAGATGATCCTCTCGCGCTCTGCATGTCGGGAATCACATGTGCATTGGTGAGCACACAGAGCCTCTTGAAGGTCAATACCAAGATGCCTGACCCTCCTATGACCAGTCTTCGTCCGTCCTCTCCCTCTTCTTCTCGTCGAATCTCCACGATGGACTGACCCCATCTCGAGAGAACTTCTCGATCCTTAGAACCGATGAGGGATACAATCTCAGAAACAACCATCCTGGCGTCGGTCTAGTCGAGTCCTTTCACAGATTTTAGCACCTTACAGGGGTGCATTGAGCACATTCTCGCTGCTTGTTTCCCGCCTCTTCGATTACCTTTGCTTTGATCCGCTCTCTTTGTTGCTCGCCCCCCAGGCTTGTCTGCATCATGTCCCTTCACTCCTGTAGAGTTTGTGGCACTAGGGCATTCTAGGGCATTCACTGGCCCTCAGTCAACTGAGGCACTGCACCCGGGCCGTCACGCCGTCCGCCGATCCGGCCCGGAGTCCGACCCGGAGGCCGCGGGCGCAGCGAGGCTCCGGGCTCTCGGAGCCTGAGTCTCCGACCAGCGGCTGAGCAGTGATACCGTGACGGCGAGAAGAGAAAAGACAGCGAGAAGGCGGCGCCCATTGAGTGCGGCGGCGGGCCGCCCCCGGGCCTGAGCCGGCCGGCCGGGGGTATCCGGACTTTACTCAAAGTTAAGTTAAAGATCAGTACCAGGACGGTGGCAAGCTTGAAACTACCGTCACGTACAGTCGCAAGCGACTACCTGGCAGCATCGAGGTTAGGAGAACAAGCACAGCAGAGTCCAGTGACTTTGCACAGTCAGACGCCTCGTTGATGAGGATGCTTTGATCACTACAAGCCTAGCTCATCCAGCCATAGGCATAATGTCAGAAGAGGCCAAAGACCCACATGGCGATGTGAATCTAAAGGAAGGCTACTTAGAAAAACAGAGCAGGTATGCTGAATCCATATCAAGCCAAGAGCGCTTTTGAGATGCCCTTGTCACACAGGCGCTTGAAGTTATGGCAAAAAAGGTTCTTTGAGTTGATTCATCGTTCAAGCACAGGGACTGCACTGTTGAAGTACTATGACTCTGATGATAAAGTCCTGGTCTGCAGCTTGATATTGTATAACGGTGGATACTGATTGTTGGGTTGTAGATGAGGGGAGAGATAGCTTTTTCTTCCGTCAAATTTTCTGTAGATAAGCTAGATACCCTGCATGCATTTGTTCTTCAATTGCCACACCGAAAATATGTTTTTCGACACCAAGATTCCGACGAAATCAACGGTTTCAAATATCGATCTTGCATGACTCTCGTTAACTTTCCGGACTGTGTGTAGATTGGGTGAAGAAATTTGAGAAGCTGGATCATGCTTCAGATTTGGATGGCAAGGTAGTGAGTCTTGACCAAGAAGTGCACAAAGAATATTTCGATCCGAAGCAAAATGAGAAAAATCAGCAAGCGGTAACAGACATTTTGAATACCTCTGATATTTCAGATTTGTCTTCAACCGACAATACCTTGATCGAAGAGGATCACAAACCACATTGGTCAGGAGCACACAAAGCCGAAGGTAGCGTCAATCTGAGGGCAGAGCCACTAGCGAGGATGAAGGAATCACCCTCCTCCCCTCGAATAGACCCCGACATAGGGAATGAAAACACAACAGCAAAGATGCAACGTGCACCACCCCCAGTACCTTTGCTAAACTCCGCTTCATATGAGGTAATGCTTCAGCCCTTGTATGACATAGAAAAAGAATCTGATCCTTGCTTCAGCCTGACAAAGCTCTAGAATACCATTCCTCAGGGAAGTCATTTCTATTCCGAGCTGCCACAAAGTATCATAGATTTCTCACATGCAAAGTGCTGAAAACAACTTGTTTCTTACTTATCAGAGAGTCTCCTCGCCATTACAAATCATTTTTTGCTAGAAAATTTTTACAGGTATGTATTGATCTTTGAAGCGTGTGATCATGACTCCCTTGTTGGAGGACTGACCCAATCGTGTCTGATCAGCCTGATGAGGAATCTGACGATGAAGATTCGGTATTGCTATCAGAAAAAGATTTGTTGCAATATTTGCAGGTAATTTTTCAAGGAGAAAATTTCTACATCTCAACATTGGATCGTGAATGTCAAACAGGAGACGGATTCGAGGGAAAGCTATAACGATGCACAGAAATCTCTTCCATCCTTGTCTTCTCCAAGGAATGGCGATCGAAATGATGATGATGCTTGTGGAAGTGTCGAAGCTTATTCTTCTGAATTTTGATTTTTGGATAAAACAAAAATCAGTCGAATACCTTCGATTCCTCATTTGGTCATCTAAGTTATATGGACCCCGATACTCATATTGGGACAGCTACCCCCATCTCACAACTGACCCTTTATCCCTTCCCTAACAGTTTTGTTGTATTGCATCCAAAAGTGAACAATGGTCCGAAGGCAGTAGAAAATTGAAGAGAAACAATTTTCAATCGTTGGGATAGAACATTGATTTGTTTAACAAAATACAGCTTCAGACATTTCAACCATTAACTACAAAACAAATACAGCGTTCCATGGACCGCGGGAGATTGTCATAATATTCATGCCCCTGACCTGTCACAAGAAACCATCACATATCCTAATGATCACCTCCACTTTGTTTTCAAGTGTATCGAAATGGTCTCAGCTCTTCCTATTCATATTTGAGTTGCTTCATCGAATAGCTCGCACAACATTGTCGATAGTTATCTTCATCGACCAATCGATACCCACGAAAGCAAATCAAAACACATTTGATTTTCATCTACCTTTTCATCCGACACTTGGTCCATCTGCGTTCAACGGTGGAAATCCGAGCAATGCTATACCACTGTGTTAAATTCTGTTGTCCAATAGGGTCTTCTGAAGAAAAAGAGGCATGCTTTAGTTCAGAGCAAAGATGTTTGGACAAGTTTGCAATACATTCAATGACACACATTGGACGTAAAAGTCATGTCCACATTTCATTTTCCAGCTTTTCTTTCGAACAGAGGGATGTAATCTTTGCTCGAAATAGGTATACCGCTGGTTCGAAAGCATGTAACACACACTTACAAGAGTCGCAAGAAGCTTGGGGATGTTGAGGCATCTGTTTCTCTCTGACGAAAAGACATTCTTCTTCTCTCCTCCTTGTGTCGCGTACGTCAAGCCATGTTTCAGCGAAGCGGGGTTTATCTGCCGCTCTGCACGTGCACGGTGCCAGTGACGGGCAATCATCAATTTCCAATCAACAAATTTTTGGAGTAATCATTTTCCAATCAACGAAAGTTTGCAGTAATCATTTTCCAATCAACTTTTTGAAACAATAATCATTTTCCAATCAAAACTCCCCGTTTCGTACCGTTACACGTATCAGAAACGGTCGTAACCGTATACTTTTGCAATCATTTTCCAATCAAAATCAACTTTCAAACTTTCAACTCTCCATTTTGGAACTTTACCCCACCCCTCCACCCCCCTTTAAACCCTCCGTTCGGACCCCTCCCCATGACCCACCCCTCGAAGCCCACAGCGGCTACCCCCTTCA